CTTTCTAGCACACTGCATGACCAAGTATATTATATAGTTAGTCATAGGTATGTCTTACATCAGTGCCTTATTCCTGCTAAATCAGGTGCATCTTCAGAGTTACAGAGGAGGGCTGCCATGACCTCTGGAGTAGGCTCTATGGGGATTTAGTAAGGAAAGTCCCAGAGAGGTTGCATAGCCAAATACAACGCAGAAATCAAATGAAGGGAGAGATGAGTGTGGAGATGTTACATTAATTGTATTTGTTCCAGACCATTTGAATGCTTTTAATATGAAGGAAATAATTCTCTGTTGTGTGGCTGACCTGGCTGGTGCTGTAGATTAAGCATATGACTGTGTTGTGCTTTGCGGTGGTGGTGTGCAAGGGTGGACAGAGGACATTTACAGAACTCCCCCTGAGAGTGAAAGGGGAAAGCAGGATCTCTCCATAGTTCAGTGAAAGCTCGGGGAAGGAGGCCAGCCGTAAACCTCATTTTTCTCAGGGGGGCCATGATCTGCAGTGTAGAGGCTGTGTCTAGTCCCCAGGAAACCACCACAAATGCTGCCATCAGCTCTAGACGTCAGCTGAGGTTGCACAGTGTTTTAGTTCAGAGCAGCCAAGTGCACTCAGAGCTCCTTCCCTTAGAGCGACTCCCCGTCATCCTCCTCCTACTGCCCTTTTGCAGGGGACACAGAAGGCAGACACTATTTCTGTTTGTTCTTGTTGCACCAGCCCAGAGAGGAAGAGATGGTCCAGTTAGGGTAATAGCCGAGAACTTGGAAGACATGACTTTGATTCCCGGCTTCACCACAGACTTCCCATGTAACCTCAGGCACATCACTTAGCCTCTCTGCGCCTCCGTTCCCCTTCTGTAGACTGTGAATAATAACACAGCCTACTTCATGTGGTTTTGTGAGGGGTGTTGCATTATAGACTGTCAGGTGCTCAGGTACTACTTTGCTGGGAGCCATATAAGATACATTTGTCCTGAAATGAGGACTGGCTGTGGTGGTTTTGTGTTGTAACAATTCCAAGACCTAATACTCTCTTTATCACTGCCTATCATGCTGACCAATATTGTCTCATTGTTACTTTGCCTTCCCCGTCTGTCTGTCTGTCTCTTGTCTTATACTTGGATTGTAAGATCTATGGGATGGGACACATCTTTTCTTCTGTGTCAGTACGGCGCCTAGCACAATGGGATCCCAGTCCATGACTGGTTTCAGAGGAGCAGCCGTGTTAGTCTGTATCCGCAAGAAGAACAGGAGTACTTGTGGCACCTTAGAGACTAACCAATTTATTTGAGCATGAGCTTTCGTGAGCTACAGCTCACTTCATCGGATGCCATGACTGTGGCTCTTGGGTGCTATGGTAATATAAATCATAATTATGGCTGAATTTGAAGGAAAGGCATGGTAATATTTTCTCTTAAAACAGCTGAGATCTGTTATTTCAATGTCAAATGGCTTTTTTTAAAGAAATCATCAATTCACTGGCTTGTTTGCTCATTTAGCCTGAAAAAATCTTGTTTCTTTTCCGTGTATTCTGTTTCAATGCAGAGTAACATACAAACACTTTTCCCCATCTCCTCTCTGTATTTGTATTTGTCCTTCAGCTTTACACTTTGCAAAATCAGTAAGGGCTCTTTAGCATCCTAAAATATGGTTTAAAAAAACCCAGAATCTATCTTCTCCTTCCTAAAATCCAAGACACGCACAATATGGAAAGGAAAATTGGCTCTCTAGAAAATGCGGATAGTTTTATAAACAGTCAAATCATGTACTTTTTCTCTCCTTTCAGACACTTGTTACATTATTATGTTCTGTTCTAATTAAATCATCAGATTGAATTATCAGATGAAATGTTTTTGATTCCATTGTTTCCTGAACAGGTTTGGTTAAATTAATAAACCATATGTTTCATTTTGTAAACAAGAAGGGGGAAAAATCCTGTTTTGCCCATTCATCAATCCAGAAACCCTCAAAATAGAAGCTGAATAGAAAATGCTAGTTAGTACATAATCATAACACATTCTTCCCTTGTGCCCCAGAATAATTGGAACAAAGTCCTATTAAATCATAAACTTTGTGAATATTCTTTACTGTGAAATAGCAGGATTATGGATTCAGTATCCTTATAGCGGGCCTGGGCCCTGATCTTCCAACCATTCCATGGCCCGATCCAGCGGAGTCTTTTATCACATGTGTTAGTGAAATCAGCAATGGCATTAGAGCGATTACAGCCACGCACTATGCTTAACTGGATCAGGGTTCAGGTTCACAACATTGGAAACAATGGCAGCTCTGTACACAGAGTGGCTGCAGGATCACTGTCGGGCTCTTAGGCACAAGTCTCTAAATGAGGAGTCAACAAAAGCTAGAGGGACATTACAAGTATTTGGGACCTATTCAGCCTGTTGTCCCTTTATTTTATGTCTCCTGTGATGATTACTGGAGAATTGCTTTTTAAATCAATCCTTGCTGCAGTAAAACAAACTCCAAGGAGGCCTGGATGGGCTTCTTTTGAGACTAGCCACTACTTAACTGGATAGTGTGTTTGCTGCTGATTGACACAAGCTCCCAAGGTCTAAGCTTGCCCCCAGTTCCAAAAGACTTTGAATGGAATGGAACGATAAAGCAAGTATCGTCAAGGGGACTGTATGGGTTAAGTGCTCTCTTTTTCTCTGGAGAGAACTAGATGGCTCCATTGGACACTGGATAGAGTCAAACCTACCGGAGGTGCCTGTGTTGCAAAAAGGGAAAGTTAATGCCTCGGCCCCCACCTAAACTAGCCCACACTAGGTAGACGGAACATGAGCCCCATGCAGCCACTGGCTCACGCTGTAGGGCTAAGTGTTGAAAGAACAGAGCACAAGTAGGAGAGAGGAACAGGCAGTACGCTCAGAGGAGAGAGACAGAGGCCAAGGGTGAGAGAGAGGAGCTGTTTCTTGGGAACAGTGACTTAGTGGTGTCCTAATTGCGGTTTCTGGAAGTGTCATTGCCGGTGGTAGGCTGCAGTTTTGGCCACCTCCGTTCAGAGTAATCAGGACATTTGCAAATAGGTAAATTACACTTGAAACGGCCACGAGTTTGACTTGCCAGTTTCTTTTGCAGGGGGAAAGTCTACTGCTACACATCAATTGCTTCACAAGCGTATCTCGCAAAGACAAGAAGATTCTGTTCTCTCATTTTGCACCCGTTTGTTATAAAGCGAGGGTGACAAATGCACAGGATACATTTAACAGGTCCATCACACTGGAAATACTGGAGATGCACGTGTTTAGCCATTTGCAGCATGTTTTTCTGGATAAAGCACGGGTGTTTGGTGATGCAGCAGCACGTGACATGGCCAGACAGGAAACCCAGAGCTGGAAATAGACTTCATTTTCTCCCCAGTGCAACTGCGATTCTTCAGGAGTCAATTGTTTGTATGTGTACGCTCAGGGAGCCAAGTTAAGATGGGTGTGTTTTCACTTGTCGTGGAAAGTGGAAGTGGGAAGGATAATATTGGAAACAGTGCACAGACTTAGTGGTCTGGGTGACACCCTGAGCCTTTCCTGTCAGCAAAGGCTAGATCCTTAGTCCCTGCTGAGTGTATTGAGGTACTGTAGCATGCAATTCTTTGTGGCTCAAGGGTTATATTTGGAAAGAGGGTGTGAGAATTTGTCCTGAATTATATATTTTAATCACGACTCTTTTAAAAGCTTGGGAAAATATATAGCCCTTATAGCGGGAGACCAGTATGTACTTTATAGACAGCATATTAGTGCCATCTAGTGTTCTCCATTCATACGCCTTTACATTTCAGTTATTAGACCAATATTTTTTTGAGTTATCCTGAATGGGCTGAGCTCTTGAGTGCATACCAGCATAGAGCATACCCAGGGTCAGTGCCCATACCCCGTCCTCCTCTTTTGTAGGCAGCTGAAATAATGAGCAGTTCAGCTCAAGCTAGGCCATTCCTAGGGTTTCCCTCCTGGACATTCCCCCCTCAAATCCTAGCACACTCTGGCCAGAGAGCAACTTCTACCTTCTTTATATCTGAGGTGGGATTAGAAAGCCACAGCTTCCAGAGCGAGGCAGCAGGAGTCAGTCAACAGTTCCACACAAAGAAAAGGAGTACTTGTGGCACCTTAGAGACTAACCAATTTATTTGAGCATGCTCTGCGACCCCTGAGCATGCTCAAATAAATTTGTTAGTCTCTAAGGTGCCAGAAGTACTCCTTTTCTTTTTGCGAATACAGACTAACACGGCTGCTACTCTGAAATCTGTCAGTTCCACATAGCGTTCCTCCCAGAAACCAGCTAGGAAGCATCAGCCAAAGAGCTATGTGCCTGGTTACTGACATGCCCTTTCTTCCTTTTGTGACATTTGAATGACAAGCAATGTCTATGTTTCCCTGCAAAGCAGGTGAAGAAGAGTATAAAATATCCTTAGTTTATTATGCACTAGTGGGCATAAAAAAGAAACCATATAGTGTCCCAGTAATAACTCTTAGATCTGATATAGGGCATTGGATCTTCAAAGTGTTTAGCAAATGTTAGCTAATTCTCCCAGCACCGTGTGAGGCAGGGAAGAATTATTGCTCCCATTTTAGGCATCAGGCAATTATAATACAGGAAAGTTGCACAGGGAAATTAAGACCCAACGGTTTAAAAGTGCACTGAGCACTTGTGGGTGTGCAGAACTCTCAACGTGCAGAGGGCGGGGTATGTAGGCCCATCCGGGGAGTGAAGATTTTGTGCTCATTTGTAAAATAAATAATTGGGCCTAAGCAACTTGCCCAAAGCCACAGACGTAATGGGCCCTATTGTCTGTTATCCTTTTCCTGCACTTGGCACAGGAAAGCAACTGCAAGTGGTTAAAATCCCATTGGTTTCAGTGTAACATAGAGTAAGATATTATAGAGCTTGGGTAAGTGTGTCAAAAATCTGGCTTTTTAATGTTAAATGCAATTATTCTCCTATTCAGTTTCTCTCTGTTCTTCAGGAGAGCTTCATATCTGATCCCTTTTGTTTAGTTTGCAGTACTCCCCCGGTCAACATGAAAGTGCAGCCTGTGAACAGAACAGCTTTGCTAGTAACTTGGAACCAACCAGAGATCATCTACCACCCTCCCGTTATGAACTACATGATCTCCTACAGCTGGGCTAAAAATGAAGATGAAAAAGAGAAGACTTTCACCAAGGACAGTGACAAGGACCTGGTAAAACTACAGCATCAGCAATTGACCTTAGTCTTAAACTAGCCTTACACTGTACTTTCCTCAATAGGAGAAGGTGGGGTACAAAAACATTTGTTATATTGAAATGAAGGGTTAGTTTTTTAAATCGCAGTGGATTGCTTTTCACATATTCCTTGCTAGTTGAATTCTATGTAGCACATCACCCAGTATACCAGAGGGTTAATTTATCGTTCACATGGTGGGCACAAAGGGAAATGGGTAGGCAGGTATTTTTTTATATACGACTGTTGAAAACTAGCTGGCTTGGGAACCTGCTCCACTCACTCTGAAAACCTTTTTGGCTTATGTGCAACTTGCTGTTTTCACAGTAAGGACTGATCATGCAAAATCTGTTACTGGACTAGTGCTTCCCACTGTGCATAGCCCATTGAAGACTATTGGGACTGTCCCTGGTAGGGTTTGCAAGATCCCGGGCTGGGAGCTGGGGATGCAGTGGCCCAGGCTGCAGTGGAAAAAAGGAAGTGTGCCTTTTCCACATAGATTTCTCTGCTGGTGAGATAATAGAGGGAAGGGCAGAACAGTTCAGGTGAATGTGGAAAATACCAATCCACCAGCTCCATTTACGATTGGATCTGTTTGTCATTCTTGTCCAAGTGGAAGCAAATACTGTACTAGTCTTTAACATTCTTTGCATATAAAATCAAAGTTATATATTCAGGTTTGAAAGGCCTCCGTTTATTGTTAATCAAAGGAAGTCTCTGGAATAAGGAAATCAGTAATTGTATATGCACATGAAAATGCAAGAGCACTGAGAGAAATTTCTAATGACTGTTATTTTTTTTCAAATACACAGTCCTCTGGGCCCATTCAATCAGTTATAGAATAATACTTCTCTTACTCTTTCAGATGAAGATTCTTTTACTTCATTTCCATTTATATTTTCAATTTCCCCACTAGACATTGTTATCTAGGTCACATTAGGGATTGATGTACTTCATGAAATCAGAGAGGAATCTATTGAAAGACACTCAAGGTTATGAAGGTTGTGATGTATTGTAACCTCTCTCTTGTCATAACGTCACATGCTTAAGGGAGATTTTTTTTCATCAGTAATGAGAATGGAGTACATTAAACAGCAGGGACAATTTGGGCACAAATACAGTGTCTTTTTTATATAAAAATAACGAAATATGCAGGGAATTCAATGAAGTGATAGCTTGAAGTGAATGGCAGTAAACCCAGCTCTGGAAAAGGGGTAAAGGAGGAGGTAAAGGATTCAGCCAAAGTTTAGATTAGGGCCAAGAGAGAGGCATGGCAGAAAAACATCGTTTGACAGTGAAATATAATTTACTGTCAAAGTACTTGCACTGTGGCAGAAGAAATTGGGAAGTCCAATTGCTTGAGACATTTGAAACTAGACTAGAAGATAGTGCACTGGCCTTGCAAATGACCTACACTGATACTCAGTGCTGTTAACTTCCTCTGCTGCAAGGCCCAGAGAGGAGCAATTGCTGGCAAAAAGGAGATCAGGGAGCACACAGAGAGTGAATGAATGGCTGGGTAGCCTGGCAGCATCTCCAGAGCATCCATGTGCATATTCAAATACTCACATTGTAATGGTGATGGTGGACTGGAAGGCGATTCCCAGCCCAGGGCAGCCATTCAATGTGGGGGCACCATATGCAGCAAATTGCCCCAATCATCCCTGCTGTTCCCTGCAGAATAAAGCTCCTGGCCTAGATACTATGGTGGTCGGTAGCTGTATGTTCATATCCCGGTTGATGGAAAACACCCTTTTCTCCCCCACCACATGTTTTTATTTTAATTTTTAAAAGATCAAGTAACCTGCTCGCAGGTTTTTGAGCAGTGAGGAGTCGCAAACATGTGTGTTAGTGTGGTAACTAACGCATCATGGGGGAAATTCTCCCCTGTGCAGAGAGCTAGCACAAGCCCTGTGCACCACTTAAGTCGCGCTAAGGTCTAGCAGCTTACATGATGCGCGGGCCAGCAGCTGGACCTCTGCACAGGGGTTAACGTCGCCCTTTAGAAATAGTCTTGTCCTACGTGTTCTGTGTTAGCACAGTGCTCTGTATTGTACAGATTGATCATGGAGAGCCCTTTGGGGAGGCAAATCTGAATAATATCTATTTCTTTTAAACAGAAAGCCATCATTAGCCATGTCTCACCTGACATCCTTTATCTGTTCAGAGTTCAAGCAGTTTGCCGAAATGACATGCGTAGTGACTTTAGCCAGACAATGCTCTTTCAAGGTAAAAAAAACATCTGTTTAAAATTGTGATTTTTTTCCGCCTGCTTAACATTCTTTTGCTGACCAAAATGCGTACACGGAATAATATTACAAGGGGTCTGGGTGTTATAAACAGTGCTAATTTCCAACTCTGATCAGCTGAGGTTAGCAGAACATTCATTCAAAAGAGAAGGGCTCATTGGCAGACTCTTCTCAGTGATAGGTTGTCAACTCCTATAATTACTTTCCATCTCCCGCTGAGTGATCCTTTAGAACCTGGATTTGATGATCTCCGGAGCGTATAGCAAGTCCCTTTTATTAGCCCAGGTTTTCCAGAAGGAGGAGATTTGTGATGAGTGTGGTCTTGGCTTTGATGGCTGTGAGAATCCTTTGTTGGTATTGTACCAATTTGTTTGTTTTGTTTTGTTTAATTATGTTTAAATTTTGTATCTGAGTTTAGAGCATGCTTGTCAGTGCCTTTTAGAAATCTGACTGAATATAAATATATGTAACCTTATTTAAAATCAGCCTCTAGCTACCTAATTAAAAAAATAAATCAAAGGTAGCATAGCCCACTGCTGTGAATCATAAGAATTACTGTAATCCACATGTAATCCACAGGATTAGGTCTGGTTAGTGTCTGTATGGGATGAAGGAAGGCCCAACCTTACAAGACAACAATGTGCACAGATTCTTACTCCTGAACACAGTGTCATTGATCAACAAAACCAAGATAGTTTAAATTGGTGACAAAAATTGTTTGTCAAGCTCTCAGCTCTCATATATTTCTGCTTCAATTACTCTGAGTAGTGTGATAAGTCTGAGACCAGGAATACAACTTAATTTTTAAAAATTATAAATCCAAGTCATAAGAAAAAGCAAAGAGTTAAATCACTTGAGTCAGAAGTTATCCATTAAATTAACAGAGACATTTTTAAGGGTGACCTTTGGAGAAATATGGGGGTTTCTAACCTCTGATAATCTGATAATCCTTAACAGCTGAAACTGTCTATGAAAAGTCAGGCAATGGTCACGATTCACTTCTCAGATCCACAAGGTGCCGATTTTGTCTCTGGTTAGGGTGACCAGATAGCAAGTGTGAAATATGGAGATGGGGGTGGGGGATAAGAGGTGCCTATATAAAACGGAGCCCCGAATATCTGGACTGTCCCTATAAAATCGGGACATCTAGTCATCCTACCTCCAGTATTATGTTGTCACTGCAAGTGCCACATCTAGCCTGAGTGTGGAGGGGGAGGTTTTATCATATCTAGTATCTCATAAATGTATACTGTACACTTCACTGTGGTATCTGAGCACCTGGATCTTCTCTGTGGATCTGAGGGGAGACTTTTGGTCTTTGTTTTAAGTGCCCAACAGGATCAGAAGTTTGTGTACTGGGGACCTTTCATCTCAGCTCTTTAAGCTAAGGGTGAAAGAGACTGAACCGCGGAAACTTGACCATGATACTCATTTGATTATAGGCAAAAGAGCCTTTTGGACAGCTTCCCAATTACATGAAGAGATCTATAATGGAGGCTATACACACACCAGTATGGCAATGGCAGGTGGTGATGTGTTTCCCTCCTTAGCCATTCCCCCTCCCCCCTCCAAAAAAGTAGGGCAAGTTCTTTCAATTTTACACTGGCTCCAGAATCTAAATTTTAAAATAACTCCTCAGAAGGTTTTATCACACTGTATCTTGCTTGTTGGCATTGTTTGGTTGTTTATGCAAATGCTAGCCTGAATTCATCTAGAAGTTTAAACTGATACACTCAGATTGGTGGGATGTGTGTGGGGAGATGGGGGGGACGGGACAGTACATTGGGATGGTTAATATGTAATTTAATTTGTCTAGCAGATGACGTACAATTTATATTTCCTTCACCCTTTATAAACTAGTCATTATAAATAAATAAGAAAATAAGAAAAACCCTGTTTCATGATGGCTGGCAGTGTTTTAAAGTATTTTATTAAAGTTTTATTTTGAAACATTGCTCACTCACATACACACTCTAAACAAACCATAAACATGTACCTAATTACAAACAATACACAGCATGTTGCATGACAAATGAACCTGGAATGCATTTCTCCCCCACTGTCACTGAGGGATGTATAATTGCTTACGACAAACTCAGTTCCTTAAATTTAGCCACTCTAATATTAATTCTGAATACCAGGGACTGGAATCTGATTTCATTTATATCAGCCTAAATTGAGATGAACAACGATGTAATATGTTTTAAGGTCAGTAGACATTATGATCATTTGGTCTGACCTGCTGCATAACTGGGCCATAGATTTTCACCTAACTTGTGGTTGAGTAAGAACATATATTTTATGGCTCAGTAGGCAAAGGCCAACATTTTCAAAGCCGAGTAGCTAACATGAGGCTTGTAAATCCATATTTAGGCACTAATATGGATTTAGATGGATAACTTCAGGCACCTTAGCTTGAAAATGTTGGCCTGACTCTCAATTTACGCTGGAGTAGTTGGGACCAGAATTTGGATTTGGTTGTACATATCAGGCCACTTCAGACATTTTTTTTACTCCTCTGTGGTTACCATCTTACACACCAGCCACTGTTTCCTCTATAGCAATCCCTAGGCACACTCAGTAGCAATAAGAACAGGAGGACTTGTGGCGCCTTAGAGACTAACAAATTTATTTGAGCATAAGTTTTCGTGAGCTACAGCTCACTTCATCGGATGCATGCAGTGGAAAATACAGTGGGGAGATTTTATATACACAGAACATGAAACAATGGGTGTTACCATACATTGTAATGATAGAGATCAGGTAAGGTGAGCTATTACCAGCAGAAGAGCAGGGGAAAAACCTTTTGTAGTGATAATCATCGTGGGCCGTTTCCAGAAGTTGACAAGACCGTGTGAGGAACAGTAGGGGGGGAAATAAACATGGGGAAATAGTTTTACTTTGTGTAATGACACATCCACTCCCAGTCTTTATTCAAGCCTAAGTTAATGGTGTCCAGTTTGCAAATTAATTCCAATTCAGCAGTCTCTTGTTGGAGTCTGTGTTGTTTTTTTGTTGAAATTTTTTTGTTGAATAATCAGTAGCAATGGCTCTCAAGGTTTTGACATTTTTAGACGCCTTTAATTTCAGAGAAATTGTTTAGCAAGAATAACTGCATTTTTTCAGCTTCATATCCCACATAAATATTATCCTTCTTTGTTTCCCAGCTAACACTACTCGAATATTCGAGGGGACCAGAATTGTTAAAACAGGAGTGGTAAGTAGTAGACATAAATCAGTGCAGCAAATGTAAAAGCAGTTGTAAATTGTGCCATAATACCCACCAGGTGGCAGCATAATGTTGTAGATCTACTGTAGTTATTTGGGAGGGTGTTACTTTATTTAAATCCTGAGCAAAAGTTTTAATTGCCTGTCTCCACACATGGAATAGCTTTATAGCTTCATGATTCCGTAAGCTTTCTTTGGAGAGAAAATATGTAATCCTAATGATGACTGAGAATATGCTTAATTTCTTTTAATAACTAAATGAACAGAGGTTCATGGAATAGGAACCAGGCAGTGGTTTGGCATGTGGCATCTGCAGTTTTCCAATGCTGTGGAAATACCTACTTTTGTGTAAATTAGGCCTTAGAAAATTATTTATTTTAATTCTTTATTTCATGTTACTTGAGGCTGTAAGTATTAACTAAGGTGAACTTTCAACAGCTCTTCTAATTTCATATTCCAAAACCCAGAAAGTGCAATAAACGAATATATTTTACACTACTTAAAAATGCTGTTTTAGTTCTGAAAGAACATAGTTATGTACAGTGCTGTAATGTCAATCAAATTTAGGGACTGAATTCAAATTAGAGAAGTTAGGCTAAGTACTTTGTTTCTGGTTTCACTCAGTCGCATTCTGAATGGTAATACCCCAGTAACACAGACCTTGAACAAGAATGATTAACATATTTCAGGGATAATGTAGAGATGTACTAGATATACAAAATCTGCTGCCAACTTTTACTTCTTCAGCCCAGCTCTGAGACTAACGGCAAATGCCAGAGAAAAGCACATTTCTCAAAGCTATAGAGGTTCAGATTGATAAGTATCCAGAAGTTCAGATGCTTATTTAAAGTTTGAGCTCAAGATCTCAGAAGAACAGACTCTCCCTTGAGATCTCCACTTCTTTGTGATTGCAGCTGGGTCAGAAAGAACATGAGAGCAGTCTTTCTTGTTTTGCTGCAGCATTTCCACTTCCTGGCCTGGCTGAAACCAGGAGTAGCACAGGGATGCAGAAGTATTATGTCTAAATATACTAAGCTTTTAAAACTCTAAAAATATTTGGGGTCATGGACATTTTATGGGTTGGGTGAAGGTTCAGATCAGTGCCCATGTTACCCATGTTTGCTGTCCCTCATAAATGCATTTGCAGCATAACCTCCACTTTATTTTTGTTGATTGAACTGGTAACATGAAGCGTAAGTGCAGCATGGTCCAGTGGCCTGAGCACAGAACTAAATTCTAATCCCAGCTCTTCCACAGAATTGTTCTGTGTCTTTGGACAAATCAGCGAACTTCAGTGTCTTTAGGGTGATCACCACTACAGGCAGCCACCATAAAAGCGAAATTCATCTAATGGTTTTCAAACGTTTAGCCAGGTTTTATTCTGGATAGATCGTATGTGTACAAAGTTGATCATGTTAGGGTTGCTGATCACCTTGCAGTACAGCCCGAGTAGCTGCAACTCTGGGTCACAATTCAGCCCCTGCTTCCCTCTAGCTGCATTGGGGAAATAAACTGTGCCAGCCCTTTTTCTGGTACAGCTTGCTGCTCTCTCCCTCTCTTCCCACCCCCACCCCGGCTCTGCTGGCCAGTGAGTTGTGAGGGCAGAGTGAGTTGGGCAGGATGGGTAGAAGAAACCTGTGGTGAGGACTAAGGGCTGGTGATGGTGGTAGCCAGCTCAGGGCACTAAGGAGGCCCTGTATGCCCTTGTACTGCCCTGTGTGGGTGCACAGCCAGGGTCTCAGTTGAGATCTTTTGACGGATGATGATGCCAAGCTGTGCCATAGTGCCAAACCTTAGCAAAATAACGCCAACCTGTGCAGGGTAACTAACAAGATTAGGAAAGAATAGCAACTGAGTCCCCCGATCCTGCGATCAGATCTGTATGGAAGGACCCAAGGGCTCTTTGTGAGAGCAAAGGGTGCCACATGTTTGGATCTGATTGCAGGAACCAGGCCCGTTATAACAAAATGAGGGACATTCAAATAGCTGCTGTAACACTGCTTTTACTGTAAGGTGAAATGTACGTGATTTCACATTTTAAACATTTTTTAGTCTACGGTTTTCGAGAACTGGCATAGTGAAAGTCATTAAACTTTTTAAAAATATGCTCCCTCCCCACCTCCCGAAAGGAAATGTTCTTCAAAAGTCGCTATGGAAGGGGAGAGGTCGAGTATAAAACGAAGATAAGAGTAATGAGATATTGCTGTAATTGTTGTTTGGAAATGGCAAATGCAAGAACGTTTGCCTCTCTTGGGACTGTCGACATGGCAGTCAGAGGTGTCACTGCAGCTGGTGTAGACGTAACTCAAGATTGCTTTGATCCGGCTAGATCAAAGCGAGCTCGAGGAACAGCAGCGGTGAAGCCGTGGCATGGCTGCTCAGGTACCTACCCAGGGTCCCACGTGGGGTTGTACAGTATGGGTACATCAAAGCTAACTCGAGTATGTGTATGTGGTCTGTGATCGCACCAGCATGCCTGGTTGACATAATCTGTGTCGTTTGCCTTGTGACTTTTTAAATGCTTGTGCTTGTGCTGTTTCTGGGTAGATTTGACTCCAGATTATTGTATAAATATACTTGTCTCATTTGAACAGAATAATGGGCAGAATGGAGTGTTTGGAAAGAAAAAGAAACCAAAAGGAAAAAAGAGCCGAGGTAGCATATCAGGTACCCCTACTGACACTCTCTCTGGTGTGTTTTCTTCCCTTGTCCCCTCTGGTGGTGTCTTCAAGCCTACAGCTTCTCCTGCTTCTTCAGCTGACATGGCTCCCATCAGTTCTGGATCTTCTACCTGGACTTCTTCTGGTCTTCCTTTCTCCTTTGTTTCAATGGCAACTGGAATGGGACCTTCATCCAGTGGAAGCCAAGCAACCGTGGCCTCCGTGGTGACCAGCACGTTGCTTGCTGGCCTTGGGTTTAGTGGTGGCGGTATTTCCTCCTTTCCTAGCACTGTGTGGCCAACCCGCCTTCCTAGTGCTGCTTCTACCAGCAAACAGTCAGTTAGGCCAATGCTTACAACTCCTGAGGCTTTATCTTCCCCAGGACCGGACAGTGATTCTGCTCTGACAAAAGACAAGGAAGGAGCAGAGGAAGGAGAAAAGGATGAGAAGAATGAAAGTGAGGATGGCGAAAGGGAACATGATGAAGAGGGTGAAAAGGATTCGGAAAAGAAAGAGAAGAGTGCAGTGACAGAGGCTGCCGAGGTACAAAATAACACTGAGACCACACTAACGACCATTTCCCCTAATAGAACTGTAGAGGAGGAAGGAAATAAAACCATACCTGGTCAAGAGCAAAACATTTTCCCAACAGATAAGAGTCCTGAAGAAGAGAGGGTTACTGAAACAGACACTCAGCCCCAACCTCTGCCCTCCACCCAAGTGCCACCAGCATTCACAAATGAACATTATGTAGGGCAAATCCCAAAGGGACCAGAGACAACATCAAGAAAAGCTTTTCCCAACGACCGCAGGTTTCCAGAGGAAAATCCATCTGATAACAGATTTATCACCATTAACCCAGGTGAGTGATCCTGGGGGAGGGATGAGTGGGAGCTGTGTTTACTGCCTTATTTCAGAATCCCGTTGAAAAAGTTATAGGGACTAGATTCCTCACTGACTGACACCCCACATGATCCCATTAGCAGCAATAGGGTAAGTCAGTGCAGGACTCAGCCCACAAATGATGTTAGAATTCTGGGGGGGCGAGGGGGATACCCAGGGGAGGGAGGTTATTGTGTTAGGAAATGACCCAGCATCCAATTAAAAACATGTGCTTCTAGCTGGAAAATGAAGTTTGGCAAGAAATTAGCCTCCAATGTGGTTGGCTGCTTTAGGAGTTTTGTTGTTAGAAATTAATATAGCTACCTATAACTGTGAAATTATCTTTGAACAATGGCCGCTGTCTTATGAATATTTGTTTTTCATAAGCAGTTTGTGACATATGTATGAAGTTATTTAGGCATAAGGTTTTCACTGCTTAGGTCCAGCATATCTGGCTGGCTTCTTTCTCACCACGCACTCACAGGCCTCAATCCTCCAGCCTGATCCACAGAGACGGCCCTTTGTATTTCACAGAGTCCATGGAAGTTAAGGGGGTTCTGCACAGGTGGATGTGGATCACGTGGATCCAATTACAGGGTTTACCTTGGTCTCCCACTGAGATTTCAATGAGATGACTGTCTGAGTGACTGTAAAATGATGTTTGTTTGTTTGTTTGTTTTTAAAAATCGCTGTTTATTTTGCAGAGCTATAGTATGTTTAGTAATTTTGTTTTTCCAGCAAAGCTGTTGTGGAGTTAGAATACTGTGAAAAAGCATTTTAAATATTTATTTCTTTTACATTTATAAAGATTAAAATCCAGACCTTTTATGCTAAGTTACAGCTCAGAATCAATTTTCACGGCTAACTTAAAAAAATCAAACCCCTCTCCCCCCCCCCCCGCAACCTTTAATGATGTTTGTTGATCCGACTCGAATGCTGCAACTCAGAACTGTTCTGCAAGAAACCAGACGAGCAGCAGTGGAGCGGTCATGCTCTAACCCCGGTTTGGCTGACATTTTTTTATGCAGACTCTGCTGATTTTCTAGCTTTCTTTCTTCTACTCCATGATCTCACATGGTGGTTTTCTTCAAAGTCAGCTCTTCCCACCATGCATGCTTTAAAACACTTGCGTAGGCAGCCCGCAAGACCCACCTTGCCATGTCTGCTTCTTGTCGGGAATGAGCGTGTGCGCTCTGGCTGCCTTGTGCAGTGCTGAGTCAGAGCTCAAGGTCGGAAGAATTGGGCACAGTGGAATCTCACTTCGAGCCCACGTGGCTTGCTCTGTGAAGGCAAATCTGCCTCTTGAATAGGGGTATTGGGTTCTTCCCTCCCCCTAGTAAGCAGTACCTAATGTCCTGATTTCCTCAAATGTCCAAATTTCATGTCCTTTGTGCAAGCTTTAGCAAAGAGCCTGATGGCTTACTGCCAGTGTAATGTAAATGAGAGAGGAAATGGACAGATGGCTCCGATGTCCATCAGAGGACATATGGTTTGTTATCACATTAGTTTTTCTGGGGTGTGAGTGGGGGGGGGGGGTTAAGAAAAGAAGGGACCCATTGCAGTTTGTGAGGAAGGTGAGAAAACGCTAATGCACAGCCATATTTTATTATGGATAGGATTCACTAGTCTGACATGGCTTGCTCCCACTCTGTCTGACACACGGAGAGCCCATATGCCTCGAGGAATCTCAGGAGGGAGGAGAGGAAGTCGCTCAGGTGCAGTACAGAGAGTCCGGCATGGCTTGTGCTAATCAGTTATCAGGTCTGTGGGCATTGTTCACTTGGAAGTTGTCTGTGGGCTATCTGGAAAGACAGAACATGTAATGGATCTTCCTGGAGACTTAAGAAAAGGACAATCAGCCTATAGAAGTTGCAGCCAATATGGTTTGAGGTTTTTCCATGCTGGCGTGAGGAAATTGACATCTTGGAATCAGCTGTGTCCTTCATGTTCTGACTCAGGATATCTGTAAGGAGAGGGCTGTGAGTCAGACTTTAGAGCCACAGTCTCCCGACCCTGGTCTTAGCCAGAGGAAGTGATGAGTGACAAAGTTTCCTGCCATCTCCCAGGCTGGAATCTTAATTGAGTCTCTGGTGGCATCACTGACAAATTCGTTCAAGTACAGGGAGAGGTCTAGCTTCTTTTCAACTTCATAGGCAGATGGTGTTAAGCTCCTAGATTCTTGAATCTGCAGAAGAGGGAATATGAAGGTGAACCTTGAGGGACATGCAGAGACCTTTAAGGGCCAATTCACACCATTTTCCTAAGGTAGAGTCCCCTTTTCTGTCCCTGAGCTCTGAGGGGGAAATGTTAGTCTCTAATAACACCAGAGGATTTGTCACAAACCTAGTGACCATTGAGTCAATCTTTGGGAAGGACCAACTCTTCTTTGCTGTGTCTTGATGGAGTTTTGCAGTGTTTGTCATAGCCCTGAGGGATGGAAGACTTAGAATCTGGATCCCTTTATATATCTGTATATCTTGTCTGAGAGGAAAAGGCTTATCCTTCAGCATCTCCTCAGTGAAGTCCTCCTTCGTGTCATCATGTGAACCTTTGTTCCAGTGGCCTCCTTCAGGGACTTCAGGGACTGGTTGCTTGCTAAGGGCAGGTTCCTCAGGAATTTGTTCAGTACATTCAGATAACTGAAACTGAAATGGCTGAGGAGGCCTGGCTCTTCCAAGCCGGAAGAGGAAAGGGAGAGAGCTCCCGTCTCTCTCAGGAAGAGATTCTGCACCTTTGGAAGCTTTCCTTTTTTATCCTGATTTCCACATAGAGCACACAGGGGGTCGGGGTGAGGAATGGGAGGGGAGTCACAGGCTGAAGAGGCAATGCCCAGCTGCGGGAGAGGGAAGAAGAGTAGCCATGCGAGTGGGATGGGCCCTGGACTCCTGAACACCCTGCCCTACCATGAAAGAATCTTGGGATAAATCCCTTCCAGGAAACATTTGTGTGCAACCCGGGGAGGAAGCCCTTTGGCAACTGAATACCTTTTTGTTGTTGTTGTTGAGCGAGGACCTCAGAGGAAAGTCCCCTGCTGCTCCTGTGAGGGGAAAGTGGAGCATTGGGTATTATGGCATCCCCCAGCCTCAGGGTGGGGAACTCTCGAATGAACTTTCCCGCGTCAAAGGTGGGAGCTGAGTGTGCCGATGCCCCACGGTTTCAGCCCAGGAGGATCCTTAGAGCACTGCTCTGCCCTTTCTGGAGGAGGAGGGTCATAAGCACTGCAGTCACGGGGGAGGAGAGATAATTTTCCCCTTACTCTACAACCCTGACCACCCCTGACCACTACACTCCGACTGGGGTGATGAAACTTTGCACTTAGCGAGTGCAGGAGATGGAACTTTCCCAGGAACTGGGTCTAGGCCAGGGGTGGGAAAACTATGGCCTGGGGGCTGCATCTGGCCCTCCAGGCATTTTAATCCAGCCCTCGAGATCCCGCCGGGGAGTGGGATCCGGGGCTTGCCCTGCTCCATGCAGCTCCCAGAAGCAGCAGCATGTCCCCCCTCCGGTTCCTATGCATAGGGGCAGCCAGGGGGCTCCACACGCTGCCCCTACCCCAAGTGCTGCCCCTGCAGCTCCCAGTGGCCGGGAACCACTCCTCATTTCTGGCCCCATGCCAGAGCCCTCACCCGCTCCCGCACTCCAACTCCCAATTTTGTGAGCATTCATGGCCTACCATACAATTTCCATACCCAGATGTGGCCCTCAGGCCAAAAAGTTTGCCCACCCCAATCTAGGCTGTTGAATGGACTCCCACTGTGGAGAAGCATGACAGTGGAACTGACCACTCCCAGCACTAAATGCAAACTCACCTTAGCTTTCCTTCAAGTATGTCTTCAAGTACACATGTCAATACACAACACACCCAAAACGCTACTCAAATGCCCTAAAACTACCTCGTTTATTCCCTTGATCCTGGCAAACCCTTCATTCATGCAAAGAGACCCGTCCTTTGCTCATGCATGAGTTGTCTTCAATGAGACTCCTTGCATGAGCAAACACGACTGTCACAGCTAGTGGTTTGCAGGCCTTACGTGGCTTTTGGAACACTGAGATAAGCATGTCATTAGATCAAAGTTTGTGAAACTTAGCATCCTTAGGTGACTGGGGTGGGAGGAAGTTTCTTAAAGCATTGCTGAGAACTAGTACGGGTGAAAAAAACGTGCAAAGCACTCCCAAGATGTGCAAAAAGGAAAGTCTGTGCAGTTGATTATGGTCTCTAGAGGACAAAGCAGCTTTTTTCGGATACTTTCATTTATACAGCGAACCCGAAAAGCAAAATTTGCTGTCAAGTTATTTTGATGGGGTTTTTGAGTGGAAAATTGTATCATTTTAAAGAGTAGAACATTGTTTTATAACAATGTACACTTGCAAAATTAATTATAGGGGACCAAATTAGCCGTGCGTAAGGAGAGAACTGAGAGGGGAAGCACAGCTGACTAGAGGAGAATGGGAACGCATGAGAAATTATGGGGAAAGAGAGACCAATTAGTGCAGGAAGGCTCATTTTCTTTTAGCGCTTATTTCACACGCACATATACATACTTTTCCTGGGGCCATGTCATTATATTCTGAATGGCATTGGCCCCCTCTTGTCTGGTGTTACTGGCCAACGTTAATGGTTCCTTCTGCTATTGAGTGCTTGCTCACATGCTCCTGTTTCAGTTTTTTGCTCATCCCTCTCTATTGTGTTTTTTGCCTGATTGTGTCTTGATCTGCAACTGTAAAATACACAGCTGTTCAGAATTATTCAGGATTTTTTAAATCTGGAAATTAGAAGGAGCTGCAATTACAGTGGTATTCTGCACAAAAAGCATGATTCAGTCTTAACATGCAATCACTGGTATTAATCAGCAGAACTTTGATTTGCCATGTTGGAAGCTTAAACAAATCCTATTTGTTACAAGATAATGTATTCACTTTCCACCTCTGTCATCAACAAATTTAACATATTTCCAGTTGATGCTTTAGACTGGGTCATGAGCATCACTTGAAAACAATATAGATCTAGACCCTGGCCCCGCGGGATTCCATTTGATAGGAACTCCTCCCTATTCCCTATGGGGTTACAAAGCTTCACACAAGTTTGCTCACAAGAGAGCTTTATAGTGAGATCATGTTAGGCATGCTAAACCTTTTTTAGTCTCAGTATAGGACTTCAGTGCTTTGGTTTTCAGAACAATATTCACTGGGGCTGAAGTTACCAAAGCCTTTTGGGGATAATCTCATTAGGATAATTAAACATCTGTATAATTCTCTTTCTCCATATGTGCAAGAATTATTAAGTTGTATTTTCATGTGACTCTTGAGCTGTTTTGCTTGGCAAATTGTAGAAGCATATAGTAATAGGGTTTGAATGCTGGTAAATAGAAGAACTGGATTACACGAGGAGATCTTATTCAGAAGAACAGTGTGAATCTTGAGGACTTTATTGGTTAGGGGTCATCAACATTAGTTTATTAAATAATGAAATGACACGTTTAAGTGTTATAGGAGTCAATAGGAATGAGCACTGAAGAAATGCCTATAAATAAATAAGTAAAAAAATTTCAGCATGATGACATTTTTAAAAACATTTTAAAAACGTCTCACATTTCAACACTTAGAATGACTGACGTTATCTTTGAGTGCTATTAACTGACCATTTTGAATCAGCGTGTAGTCTCGTTTACTCAAAGGAATGACTGACAATTGCCTTTCATTTGAATGAGTGGATGATATGAGACAGCTCTGTTGGAAAAATGACATTTTGTTGGATTCAGAACATATCTATTGTCTTGGTTATCTGTATCTAAAATTATATGACAAACAGAACTTTGTCTGCATTGGAGGTTTATGCGGTGTCAAGGGATGATAAAGGGAAAGTTTCAGCAAGGCATAGGTAAGGTAGGTAATATGTTACCAGCAACTGTTGCTTATTGTGACAAGTGGCATTACATTTGGAGAATAAACATTTTTATATTCTCAGGGAGAAAGCTTTAGAGACTAGAATTTTCTGACTGTAGAATTTCTCTTTCTCCCATTGACCTTTGTCAATAAATCCCCATGCCAAAGCACCCTTTGTTGTTCTCTCTCGCTCCAATTTCCTGTGCCAAGTCCTGAAATAGATGAAAGTGCTGAATAAGTGTTTCTCAAGACAGTGATTGTTATGTCTACCTACACCCTTCCGCACACTGAAAAGTGGATTTTGAACTGCCTGAGCTCATGTTGTGTAGGGCTTCCTGAAGCAGATATGCTATAATAGTTTTTATGCCTTCCTACTGGGATGAATTCCAAGCCAGTAAAAGGCAAACTGAATTAATTCAACAATGACATATGCCACTGGAAACTGTTTACATTTCTTAGCAAAATTGGAGTTTCCTTGTCCATGGGTTTTGTTTTGTTTTGTTTTATGCCGAAGTAAGGCATATCCTGGGCACAGTTACAACGAGGGTACATTATTTGCTCTACCGCTGCTCGGTGTTCTCAGTTTAAAAATGAAAGATTGAAAGGCCGAGTGCAGAGAAGAATACAGCTCTGTATCTTTCTTTTCAATGTATCATTTCCTCAACAATTTTTTCCTGTTACCCAGCCTGCTGTCTTATAATCTGCTTCTCTTCCCCTGTACCGAAGAAGGCACCTGCTGGCGTCCAGATGTACTGCTAAAGTCTTCGAGCATCAACACTCATCTTACAGCAACTGTCGCTGATGTTTTTATTTCAGTTCACTCCAAACATCGCTTAAGCAGTTAAAAACACTTAAAGTTTCTCTTCAAAACCAAGAAACTGATTTTCTCTCTCGAGTGGCAGATTGTTGCTTGGCCATTTCCACTTGGAATCTCAGCCTCAGCCATCAGCATCAGTGAATTGTGCTACCTTTGACATATTGAGCTCTTTCTTTTTTTCACATCCGTGGCAAGACAGGTATGAGAGGTCAGATAAGCACAATCTCCCCAGTAGAATAAATAAAAGAAACATAATGAATATTACAAAAGTACTGTACTTAATTACGGTGTGTCAAAACTCTAAGTCAGGATGTGTTTACTAAGGGATGTAATTTATTTCATACGAGCTGAAATATACATTTTTATGCCGAAGCATAAGGAGAGGATCATGTATGGAACACACACCTTGTAGGAAAGAAGTGAAGTAATATTCTATCTGGCATGGGGTTGCTGGTGCTATTTCACTTTCCTAGTAAATTTTAATGGACCATATGTTTTAATTTGCTCTTCTCTACCACTCAGTAGTACCCCTTCCCCCCCTCCCCCACATGAGTTGTGATGCTTAATTATTTTTAAAGCGATTTGAGTTCCACTGATGAAAAGATTGTTCTTGCTTCAGCTACTAAATGAAATCAAATATCTTAATCGTGGTGCACTGTTAGTGTGTTGCAATGACTAAAGCAGACAATGTGAAATAGATTATAAGCTCTAATGTATAGCGCACACAAGTTCTAAATAAAAACTGTGAATAATGTTTCTGAGACAAGTTAGCAAGAAGCCGGTGCCCTCTGCAACCTTTATTCATTGAGGTTAGAGACTAGGAATGATATTGGCTACTCATCTCTCTTGTGATCAATTCTGCACTCAGTACACGTTCTCTTCCCCCCAAAATCCCTCTGATTAGCACCTCATTTAGGCTTGCCTGCCAAAGGGCATTACCTCCATCAGCCTATTTCTTAAAACTAGAAAGATTTCTTGCTGGGCTTGCAGCAGCCTATGGTCTTGCTCTGTTTTCAGCCGTCTGGCAAAAGCATTTACAATTAACCTTTACTTCCATGTTGTTTGAATTTTACTCCTGCCTACGGAGGAGTACAATCTAAATGCTATTAAAATAGAGTATGACTTCATATTATGTGACATCCAATTATCCGTGTTTTGCCTACCTATGGTGAAAAGGCAATTATGTTTCTCTGGTAAGATTTGCTTCTGTTTCAGAAGAGATGATAATACAGTACGGAACAAGGGCATGGAATTGTTCTAGTCAGAGAAAACACATGGCGGGGGTGAGAGGGAATAAACAAAAAGTCAAGTGTGTATTTTTCTATCTTTGTTCTGATCTGAAGCCATTTACAATCTTCCTTACCCTGCTGCTTCTTATTGACATTTGTGGAACAGCCGCAGGCTGTTTGTTAAGGAATGCAAAATGAATGACAGAAACTGCACCCAATAATTTTTCACTTAAGCTATTGTGCAAAAAAGTTTCACTTTTCAACAGTTTGTGAATTTGCACAAGTTAGAGGGCTTTTTGAAATACGGAATGGTCCTTAAAATGTAAGTTATCGTGGGACGGGGTCCCTCTTGTCATTATATGTGTATACAGTTCCTAGAACAATAGGTCCCAATACCTGACTGAGGCCTCTACTTTCGTGTATGCAAGGCCCTATCATCCTAGTGTTAGTTCTGCTGACTCATCCTGATATCAGCTGCCAGGATCTTGCCATAGTTTTATTTTGTATAAAACCTGAGAAGTAAGGGTTTCCACAGTGGATTGCAACAGGTTCCATCTGTCCACCCATTTCAATAATCAATGTTCTAAAAGTACCTTCGTATGTACTAACTCAACAGACCTTAACAATTCACCGAGCATTATGACATGCTACTGGATTGATAATGGGTTGAGGTTTTTTCTAAGTGCAGTTATTACAATAATGCATACATTAAAGTAAATTTTACATAGAGCTTTGTAAAAGAGTAAGACACATTCCCTGCCCCAAAGCACTTACAAACAAGGGGCATGAACCTGCAAACTTTACTTACCAAGCAGAGCTCTTAATTCATTGAGCTGGGGGAATGACTTATGATGGTAAGAGTAACGCTTGGATCCTGTTTGCAGGATCTGGCCCTAAAATTGTGGGTAAGTAAAGTTAAGATTGCAACTAGGTACAGTAGTAGAATCCAGTTGAGGCATTGTATATGCACCATACTTTCATGCTGTAATGCTTATATGAAAGTGAAGAATTGAGCGACTCGCTTTTTTGAAGGTCCATTCTCTGATTATTTGCTCACATCATGTGAACTGGAGTGAAACTGGAGTGACAGCAGTTTTAATTTTGTGTATAAATGTAGCCATTGTAGCATCATTCTATTTACTGGTACTGATTATGTTCATTACAGCAGACAAGAATAGCTCCGGTATGGCAACCAGACCTTCTCCTGGCAAAATGGAATGGATCATCCCTCTGATTGTGGTATCAGCCCTGACCTTTGTGTGCCTCATTCTTCTTCTTGCTGTGCTGGTTTACTGGAGGTGAGCCCGTTTCCTTTACATTGGGAACTGATTGTGATTTAAAAGACTGTTGGGAGTGTCTTTTTAATATGTCTCTGTAATTTTTATTTTACTGGCTGTGACGATGATGGATGATATCTCTAGAGGTGTTAGGACAGCTGTATTCGTTAACTATTTCAAGTGTCTCGTGTATTAATTTTTGTGTCATGAAAATGAGATTAGTGGTAGCAATGGCCAAAACCACTTGTAACACAGACTAGTGTTTCCTCAATTACCTCTCCTTAAATAACTGTAAGAACGCACGTCAATCCTGACCTTCGGGAAAGATGGTCTTGTGAAAAAGGCTCATTGAACCGGGGCTCTGAGTTCTAGACCTGTCTTGGCCACAGACTCCCTGTATGATCTTGGACAATTCCCTTAAGAGTTCTGTGCCTCAGTTTCCCCATCTGTACATTGAGGACAATAATCCTTGTCTACCTCATAGCAGTGTTTTGGGGATTAGCTCTGTAATAGTGAGGTGCCCAGATACTACTGTAATAAAACACATAGTAAAGCCTGTGGGAATAAAATACAATAAAAACAAACCCTTTAGATTGCCTCTTCTGAAGAGATCCTGTTGGTTAGGCCAAGTTGTATATTAGTTTTTAATGATGGGGATGATAGTTCCCCCATGGGGGAACTAGGTTTAGTATCACTAAACTCATCTCACTTTAGACCTTAAAACAGATTTGATTCTAAAGCATCTTTCTAGATGTACCTGAAGCCACTGCATCTTTTGTCTTCTGTTGAGATAAAGTTATTTGCTAGCGTTTACCTTAGCATGTACTTCTGTGCAAGACAGGCTCTGAGGAGAGGCCCAGGCTTTTCTGCTATGGAATTTACCATTTCTTTTCTAGAAGAGAATCTGGATCCTGAAGGACAGGAGGGATGACTAGTTCAAAAAGCCCTGGAGTGCCTGTCCAGAAAGGAAAGATTTAAATAGCAGGTCCAGGAAACAGCAGGTCTCTACTGGTTAAATCTTTGCCATCCCAGTCCAGAGCTCCAGGGGTTTCAGATCCACTTGCTGTCATGGGGACCCAGATGTTTAGATGGAGTAACCAAGGCTGGGAAGTGGGAAAAGGCAATTTCAGGGTTCTAGCACAGATCAGCGTGTTGGATTTGGGTGCAATGTTCATTGCTGGTGTCAGTAGTATCAGTGTTGGTTTTGGTTTGGGTCTGTATCAAAAGAACTTGAGTTTTCACTGTTAGTCTTTTAAACCATTTTTCTTCAGTGGTTGAGCACAAATTTACAAAGGATTAACTTTAGTTAAGGATTAACTTTGAAGTGAGCTGTAGCTCACGAAAGCTTATGCTCAAATCAATCGGTTAGTCTCTAAGGTGCCACAAGTCCTCCTTTTCATTTATCTCACAGTGATTTAAAAGGCCCTTCTCAGAAAAAAGCCTTTGAGGTTGAAAGAAAATCATAATAGGAATCATCCAGGAAAATGGGTGCATGGTGCTGGGAGATGATATCTTTTATTTGGGAAACGTTGGTACTTTTGGTACAATTTCACTAAGGCACTGTGAGGAGTAATTGAGAAAACTAGTGTTGGATTTGCTGAAGCAGTAGCAAAACTTTGCTCGAAGATATGCAGTAGAATTGCAGTGCCTGCTTCATCACCAATATCTGTAGAGCAGCCGTTAGTAAATGCTTTTAACGGAGATGGCTATACTATGGGTGACTAAAATTAAAATATAACTGAGGTTCAACACGTTCTCCTTTAACTCTCCTAAAAAGTCACTTGAAACATTTTATTTGTTCAGTACTTACAAAAAACTACATAGAGCAAGGAAGAAACATGGGGAAAGACTTTAATTGAAATTCAGTTACTTATTTGATAGCATAAAGGCACAGGAACTAGTCTTTGTCTATTCTATAATTTGCATGAGTAATAAACCATTTGTTAACAGATTGATAAGAATTATGAAAACCAGACATTATACCCCATCACAATAATGGAGAGCCTCTCAGTGTATGTAATCTACACTGAAAACTCAAGGAGATTCAATATTACTTTAGACATAAAAAATATACATTTGGACCTCTACATGAAGCACAAATATATGGATGTGATTATCGGTCTAAAGGTATTTATGAACAAATATAAAATAACAAATTTGGAGTTAATAACCAAACCAGAAGGGTACGCATTAGATGTTAACAGACATGCCATATATACCGAGTAGGAATTAATTTAAGATTTTGTGTATGAAAGTCCTTGAGGCTATGAAACTAGTATACAAATGCAATAAGAAAGGCAAACAGGGTTCTGGAATGAATTAACAAGAGCTATAACACCAATTGTATGCAGTGATATTTCTGACTGTACAGAGCATTGGCAATGAAGTGGTTCTACTTCATTTTGAGTGCCCTTTTCAGTTTCTTCACTTTCCTTAGGAAAAATAACGTATTTACATTGGTGGGCATTTAAAATAAAACCACCCACGCAATCTAATCTAAAAGTTAGGAAATTAAGATAAACTGGGTCTTCAGAAAGAAATACTTAAAGTGAAATGGGCAACATATGGAATAATTTGCTAAATAAGGCCATCAAAGCAAATAGCATGAAAATGAGTATGAGACGGATTTTTCAGAGTGAGAAACATGCTACTGAAGTATAAGCACAAAAACCAGTTGTTAAGAAAAGATAATCCTCAAGGGGACAGACGTGTTGGTCCAAGTGGTCTTTTCCTGTCCAGCGATTCTTTGTTCTTGTGTGAGAAAAGCATTAGGAAACTCCTACCGAGAATTAGAAAATTCAGAAGAGACATGGATTACCCTTTAGCAATGCATTTTGAGGGTAAAACAACTTGATATTTTCACTTTTGGGCATTTGAGAGACTAGATGATTTGAGAACAGAGGTGACATAAATAGAACATTGAAGCAGAGCAAAGCCTTCTGGTTGTTTGCATTGTATCGATGCCCTAGCATCTAGAGGTCTAAATAAGGAGTTAGATTTTTTTGTTTGTGAATATATATAACAAAATTAACTCTGTTCTGATCCTTTGCAATTGTCATTTCATGTTCTATATATGAAATGTTTCATATTATGTAAATGGAAGGGAAACTCCGCATTACCTAGGGAGGTGGTAGAATCTCCTTCCTTAGAGGTTTTTAAGGTCAGACTTGACAAAGCCCTGGCTGGGATGATTTAACTGGAAATTGGTCCTGCTTCGAGCAGGGGGTTGGACTAGATGACCTTCAGGGGTCCCTTCCAACCCTGATATTCTATGATTCTATGAACAGTTTGGAAATTGAAAGAGCAGAAGACAGTCTCTGTTTTTCTAAGCTTTTCCCACCTTTTAAGGTGTTGAACTTCAATATAGTATTCAGTAGAAAATCTTTACAGTTGGAGATATTTGAGAGTGGTTTGTCCCACTTCTATATGAGATTCTTGATTTGCAGGGGCAATTTGTGCTTCCTACTCCCTTTGCCTGAAGGAGATTGGACAAATGGAGACTGTGACATGACTGATCTTTGAATGAGGAGGTCACTTTATTCTCTCTAGCACTGCTACCATCTGAAGTCAAGAAAAGACATTACAACATACATCCAGCAAATTTGGCCTCTTTTTTACACTCATTTTCTTAGTCTTAACATTTTTTTAATGAAGCTGCAGTGCAAAGCGGGCTTTGGTTTTTGTGAGGTTTTTTTGCATTATTATAGAGGCAAATAAAATGTCAGCATAATGAGGCGGAAAAAAATCCCATTGTCTGATACCCCAGAACAATGAGCTGATAGCTTCCTCAGATATCCACAGGACAACCAGAAACCCAATCTTTGTATTGTAACAGAATTGGCTTGAAACTTTACTGGTGTTGATTGTGAACCTGTGGTTGCTGGAGTAGGAGGAATGAGAAGTCCATCATTTAACATTTCACTTGTGTATACCTTGGTTCACATCTTTATTCACATTTGAAAATGAGTTTGGCAATCTGATCTTTAGTGCTAGTGGACATGATGACTGGAATGCCTGTTCACACAAGGTCTAAAACAAGATGACTTGTTTTATGCCTGGAATGAGGGGCATTAGTAGAGTGGCAAAGGCAAACTAGCACAATGCTTATCCAGACTGTGCTTGGATCAGTAGTACCCCACTCCTGCTAAATAAAGTATGTGTTCCAGTGACAGTTAGCATAGGAATACTGAGGGAAGGTGAGAGTCTAGTCATGAACATAATCACACTGGTTTGCAGGAAGGATATCTAGACAGTCAGTTGCTAGTCACAGAAGTACTGATGGGAACAAACCAAAAGGTTTGGATGTGCTTATGTGTGCATAGGATCCCTTTCTCTGTGCTTTGAGAATTGAATGAAATATTCCATACTTCGAGCCTCCAGACCTCTGTGTGTGTGTGTGTATGTGAGCAAGAGACTGTACACTTAACTTTTCATACAGCAAACCAATTTGTGTGTCGTGCTGTGCCCTGATATGGCACGAGACATGTTAATGGTTACACAGCCGATTTCAGTAAACTCTATCGCAGATTAAACCTCTATATGGTGGGACTGGTATTATCAATCATTAGAACTGTGAAGGTAAGCGGGATACTTGGTGTCACTAGTTCTGCATGTTGATGCCAGAATCCTCTTTGTACGTCTGTTTCATAGAGGAGCAGGGAGATGGCTACATTATTCTGGGAACACACGACATATTTAGACATGCAATGAGTTCTTGTCTCTGAGCTTTACAGTGAAATAAAATGGTATTTCATGTGACTGGTGACCTTTCATTGTCTGTCAGATGTTTTTGTTTGTGCCTTTATTCAAAACAATACCACGCCATAGAGAGCAGTTTAAAAAGGGTAAAACACGCAGACACTGTTAAGAAGCAATTAACATTTTAGAGTTTTAGCCAACAGCAATTTTTAAATAGGAACTAAATTATATCCATTTCTCATTTTCAGCTAAGAGGAGGAAATTAATTCACAAGTATAGCTTGAGAGTTTTCTTTTCCCCTCTTTTCAGTGGATACCATAATT